GTGACTTATTCATACTTTATATTTGCCTGATTGTTACTTTTAACGTGTGAAATGCGTTAATTTTTCAAACCCAACGGCATGTATGTAATCCACTAAACGCGCGTTGGTCCTTTATGACGTCACAGAGAAATTACGTGGAACGTTTATCCAAAAGCACATCTATGAACTCTTGACCCCAAACCTGTATTTACACAGTTATAAAAACGCTTGCCTTCAGTAGTGTTATGTAAAGGAAAACATTTGCAAATGTAAATATAAAAAGATAACATGACATTTTCAAAACTTATCAATGCCTTTTGATCACAGATCACTTCCTTGGTTAAAGAGTATTCAAGTTTGTTCAGATGGAGGGTCACACCCATTTTCAAGGGGAGATAGCTAAAAAAAGTGAAAATTGGGTGGGAATATTTAATAATCTTCTCAAAAACCAGTGCGCTAGAAAAGATAAAACTTATATGAAAGTTTCTTGACATTATATATATCTAAATAAAAATGTTTAAAATATGATCCCGGGGGTATCGGGAGATCACAATGGGGGATCAAAGTTTTACATGAGAAAATAGAGGAAAAATCTTCCTCTCAAGAACAACAAGCTAATTCAGAGAATTTGTGTCCCCCGCTTAGGGAAAAAGTAAACCATGCGCAGTTCGGGGGTCGGGGTGGGTTCGGATCCCTTCGACTGAATTTGTAGAATTATTAAATGTATATTGAAGGCTTGAAGCAAATAAAATATGCCAATATGGATATAAAGGGTTGATTGATTATTCTTTATTATGTGTGTAGAAGATTCTTTTTATATGGAATATTTATCACACTGTAATGATGATTTTATGAGTTTGTACAAGCCAGACCTCATAAATTTTTCATTTCACATACTGAATACTATCATTTAGTAAAACAAAAGTATTTCGAAAAAAATGGATTTTCCGGGATGCGAACCCTGGCCCTCTCACATGTGATGCGAGAGACATACCACTAAACCACGGAGCCGCTTTAAAACATGGCGAAAATTACATTCAAACATTAAGTCACATACATGTATATATTCACGTTCGATATATTGTCAAAATTTTACACAATGCATGGTGTCTAATTTAATCGTTATTAAACAGTTCTAATAGATGTAATAAGAATATAAAGTCCGCCGAGAACCTATTTTATACGTAATAACTCTCCTTCATGCCCCTGTGCTAAAAATAGCGACATGTAATACAATAAATACTAATAAAACAAACGGGCGGGACGCTTTGAGAGGGGTGAGAGAGGTCTTAGGGACTTTTGGTATAAAATTACATTGCAAAAGCTCAAAATCCTATTGAAATATCGCCCGAAAACGATAGTGTTACACACAAACAGAATGTATACATTTATGACCCTGAAGTTTGACATTTTGACCTCAAAATCAATAGGAGTCTTCCTTAAGCTACAGGGAGTTGCTGTGTAAAATTTTATTGCAAAAGCTCAAAGGGTTCTCGAGATATCGTGTGGAAACGAAAGCGTTACAGATAGACAGAAAGACGGACGGACGGACGGACGGACAGACCCAAATTAATATCCCCACTTTTCAAGCGGGTGACAATCACAAAAACTGTATTTAATAGTCATACTGATATGTCTGTATTATGTAGTGAAGTTTTAAATTTATTCTAATCATGACCCCTGAGGGTAGGGAGATGCCCACGATGGAAGATAAAAACTTTTACAAATTAATACATAGGACGAAAATCTTTAAAAATATTCTCAAGAACAGCAAAGTTATCTGCTATGTTAATGTGGAGGCATCCTCAAGTAGTATCACCCCCACCCCCTTTACAAGTAAACCTTTTAACACTAAACTGATTTGTGGTTTTTCCAGCTGATGTGCTCATGTGAGCGATGTGGCCTATGGGCCTCTTATCAAACAAATGTTTCTAAACAAATCAGATTCAACTTATTAAAATTGAAAGTGTAATTTAGGAAAATATTATATCTTCATTGCTTTACTAGTAAGTTTTAATTTGTCTACAAATTGTCTTCTTGAGCGGCACATCGAAATTCTGTTCATGTTTAGGAAAGCTATTGTAAAATCATTCCACTGATAAGCTGCTTATTTAAAATTCAATATTAGCAGCATGCCATGTGGAAATTTTGCTTGTTTAAATCAATGAATTAAAAAAAAAATACTTAAAAATGTATATTTTCCGAATAGCAAACAAGTTTTAAAAAACGACATCAGGTCGATCCTCAAGTACACGCATTTAAATTTTTTTTCATAATTTCTACTTCTTTTGGATTAATTGGTGAAAAATGAGGTGCCTCATTATGTGTATTTTGTGCAGTGTCTTTGATATTTCTTTAACAAGAATCTGCACTTCTGATTTTACATACATACCGGATGCAGAAAATAAATTTGAGAATGGTCATTTAATTGGAGGTTATAATCAAGTAATGTCTTTAGCCGCATGTGTGTCAATGTGTAAGGGCAAATGTTCATGCATTGGATATCATTCGGAAACAAAACAATGTCGATTACATGTATATTGCTACATCAGTGAAATGATACCAGGATCAGGATGGAAATATTACAAGACACAGTGGTGTAAGTATAAATATGTAGCATTTGATTTTATATTTTACATATTTTTTTCAGCATTCTTTTGTACATCAAAGACTGGATTTCTGTTTCTGATAAATGTCAGGATTTATTTACTAAAAATCCTTCTTCTCATTTTAATTTTTACAATTTATGTTATAACAAATTTTTCATTTGCTTGCTCGTGACAAGGAGCACATGGTAGGTCCGATCGATAGGGGATGCTTACTCCTCTGTGGCACTTGATCCCACTTCTGATGTTTTTAGAGGTCCGTGTTTTCTCTGCCCCGAACTTGAATTGTTTCAACTGACTTCGGAATTTGATTAATGTTCGTTATCTCCATATTTTACTTTTATTAAATCACGACATACAGTTTCTTATTTTCATTCATCAAGAACTGAAGCAATTTATCTAAACCGTTTAAGATTATCTATTAATTCGTAAACAGACTTTGAAATAAAACAATCAAAATTTTCTTTTCTATTTCAATTCACTTGATGTTTTTATCGTTTTTAACCTTTATTAATCAAAGCTTTGCGCATAAGAGAAAAGTAAATTGAAAAAAGAGGCCCATGGGTTACATCGCTAACATGAGCATACTATTTGCGAGAAGACAGCACAAATCAGTTCAGCATTGGAAACTTTACAAGGGGTGGGGACACTATCTGAGGATGCTTCCGTATCAATTTGACTAATGGCTTTGCTGTTTTTGAGCAGAATATTTTAAAAGAATTTTTCCTATAAATTCCTTAATAAAAATTTGATCTTTCATTGTGGTCCCTCTTTAAAGTAAACAAATTTGTTTTTACACTTCTTTAGAATGCTTACGACTGATCATGGCCTTGTTGTTTTTCAAGAGATTTTTTAAAAAGATTTTTTTTCTATATATTCCTAATCTAAACTTTGATCCTCGTTGTGGCACATCCTTGAAGAGATTTGAATCACACTACTTGACGATGTTTCCATATCGATTTGACTAATCATGGCTTTGTTGTTCTTAAAGAGAAGAATTTTAAAAAAAATATTTACTTAATTATTCTACTGTTTAACTTTGAACTTGAATCTACACTTCATAAAGAAGGTTTCCGTCAAGTTTTAAGTTTTTGGAACAGATGGTTCTTGAGAAGAATATTTTTAAGAGCTGCCAATAATTTTTCACTATTTCTGAATTATTTCCCTTGAAAAAGATGGGACCCTTTATTGGAACAAATTTGAATTCCCGTTACCCAAGAATGCCTTTTGGCAAGTTTAAATGAAATGGGTGCAGTGGTTCTGAAGAGAAGTGTTACAGATGGACGGACAGACAGACGGATTAAAAATGAAATGTGATCAGTTAAATGCTTTCAGCTCAGGTGAGATTTTAAAGTATTAAGTCATTTATTTTCGATTATTTTCAAACCATCTTGGTTTGATACTTAATCACTGTTTGCATTATTTCAGGCAAAGATTGTTCAGAATTATATCAGAAGGGGAACAGATATTCCGGAGTATATACAATCAACCCGTGGTCTACCAGCAGCATTCCAACTGAAGTTTTCTGTGACATGGGAACTTCCGGAGGCGGTTGGACGGTTCGTCATTAATGTTGTTTTAAAATGTATTGATTTTATGGCGGATCCAGGTATTTTACCTCGAGTGGAAAGAAGGGGGCATCCACTCGCAAAGAGTATATAATTACTAGTAGTATGTACATGTATACGTATCTAGAGTGCACGTCAAAGATCGTTTCTCTGGATCTCGAAAAAGAGTAAGCTCGCTGTGGGGCACTGGAGAAACAAAAAAAAAAAAAAAAAAAAAAAAAAAAAAAAAAAGGTCAATTGAACTTAATCTTATCTACCGACGAAATATGGCTGAAAAATTGTCGACTCGACGTTGAACAATAAACAATCACTCAATCAAGACAGCATAAGATCCTATTCTCTTTGGAGAAGTGGACAGGATTTTACTACATGATCATCTTCATTCCTATATATTCTTATGCAAAACTGTGACCATCCACTGTGTCCTTACCCTACCCCCGGTGCTCATGATTTAAACAATCTTGAATTTACACTACCCGCTGATGCTTCCATATAAATAATTATGACAGTGTAATTATGGTTTTGCTGTTTTTACCTTTGTCTTAAGGAGAGGATTTTTAAATGTCTTCCATATGTATTCCTATGAAAGTTTCACCACCCATTGTGGTCCAATCCTACCCTTACCCATCTTAACTTAAATTTATGCAGGATGAATTTTCCTTTGGGCATGGGTGGAAATGAATGCTAGTGTTATTATTACTTTCTATAATAAATTGGACATCTCTTATTAGTAGTGCTCTGACTTAAATTTCAATGTGTTGTTTAATATTGATTGATTGATTGTAATTGTTTAACGTCCCTCTCGAGTATTTTTCACTCATATGGAGACGCCTGTTGTTAAAAAACAATGCCGTATGTTTAAAGTTTTTTACTTATTGATAAATAAGTCTAAACAAACATTTTTCCCCCAGAAATCAACAAAATATTTCTCATAGATTAATAATCAAATACTAGTAAGTAACCTGAATTATTTACTTTCCAAGTATTAAAAGTGGGAGAATTTTGTAAGATTTTTGTGTCAATGTCAAAAAAAGAATTACAAAGAAAATGATACACATTCAGTTAAATTAGAAGATTTTTATGTTCTAGGGATGGTTATTATTTTGTAATTTCCATTCAAAATCATGCGGTCAAAAATTTTTATCAATTCATGCATAAAATTTTTGTTTGTGTTATGTATCTTTATAATGAAAATATCTGTATACATAATTATATGATTCCTATTTGCATAAATTCATAGGTTATTCAGAAACGCCTAGACGGATCTACGAATTTTACTCAGAACTGGGACGCTTATAAGAGTGGTTTCGGCAATCCTTTGAAAGAATATTGGATAGGTACATGTATCATAATTTTGCAAAATTTTGAATGTAATAAAATTCGAATGTTTTTATCTGTTAGATTTCTGACCTTTACAAATTACAATCGATCACATGTTCTCTCTCTCTTTCTCTCTCTTTCTCTCAGCATTTAGCTTTTAATTGCAGGAAATGAAGTCATTTATGAATTAACAAAAGACCTGGACAGCTCCATGTATGTTGCCATTACCCTGAAAAACGGCTCCACTTTATATGAAAAATACGAAACATTCGCCATTTCAAATGAAGCGGGCAATTACAGACTTTTCCTAGACGGCCAGGCTTCTGGAACTCTGGGTTAGTTTTTTTTTAATTAAATTTTAAATAAATGATGTTTTTGAAAAAAATCAAGGCTCATGGGAATAGTTATTAATGATTTGTACATGGATTGTGCAAAACTGCAAATTATGTTTGGATATCCCTCGGAACAGCCTGTTTATTGTTATATTTTTCATTAGTGGACAATGGACATTAAAATTGAACCACATGAACTAGGTAAACAAAAAAAAGTGTTAATTTTTTAACATGATACCATATATATTTGTTGATTTTATTTCATACTCTTAAAATCAATTTATTGAATTTTGAGTAAAATGCATCGAACCGATAATGAGTTTTTAAATATGCATACATAATGTATAACATAAAGTGAAGATAAACATAGTTTTCTGATATCATTTATTGCTTTTTATTTTAATCATCATAGCCTGAGTATTTGGAATCTCGAACATGTTTATTTAGTATTCAAGTGGCAATCAATGGCCTAAACACTGTCAAAGAGAGCACAGTCAGCGTTTAGTTTCTATTTACATAAAGCCTTGAACTATAGGTTGCAAGAATGATATATTTGGCAATATTCAATAATTATATATTGAGAAGAGAGCTCGAGTATAACAAAATACTTAATGACACTGAAGGCAGATAATTAAATAAAAATGTACGTGTCATTATTTAGTTGTCTGGCCCCATTTCGAGTTTCCCAAAACAGATTGGAAGGTTCTTAAAACTTACCCCATTGATTATAACTCTTGAGAATCTGAAAGCGGCACCAGCAATTCTCAACGTCAAAATGGTTTAATATTGAAGAAAATCTCTGATTGCCAAAAAAAAAATTTAAAGATGAAAAAGTGCGAAATTACATAAAGCCATGGTTCAATTAAATAATCCGTGCTAGATTCTACTGATGTAGTTTTTATATAAGGACTTCAAAAAAGGATCTCTTTTTTAATCATGATCTTTGAATAACATTTCCGCATTTCTATCAGATATCCGTTATATTTGTTCTTACGCCCCTGCAATCGAAAACTCGGGGGTTATATAGTTGTAGTAAATCCGTCTGTGTGTTTGTCTGTTTGCCCGCAAAAAACATTAACATTGCCCTTAACTTTTGATTAATGAATGTTGGAGCTCTCATATTTTATATTTGACATTGTCTCTCTTTGGGTACTAACACATTTGTACTCTTCACCTTGACTATGGAGTTTTAGCAAATTTTGCAAGAATTCACCCAACTTTAATCTTGGCTATAACTTTTGAACAATTGTTAATAGGGTTTTGTATAAGAACAATAGATATAAATATTTTTAACCTTGACCTTTGAGTTTGACCCTCTTTTAAAATTCTTGAACCTAAGACTGAACTTTTGAACACTTAATACTGGTGCCATCATACATATTTCACAATAAATTGTGTATTCCATATGCCATGGCCTTCCTTTGGATACCAACAATTTTGACCTTATGATCTTGATCTTGGAGTTTGACTTCTTTTGAAAAAAAAAACCCACACAACTCCTGACCAATTGACGTTAAAGCTTAAATAAATCACATGTGTATTGTTTATGACAAGGTCTTCCCCAGGGTACCTTTAGTTTGACCCTTTGACATGATCGACATTCATAATTTAACTTTAACCTTGGCCCTTATCTTGATATGGATGGTGCATGGGCTTTCAAATTTCACAGGTATATATATTACATGTAGTTGAGACAAGTCTGTTCTTTAGGGGAAACAGTGGGTTTTTTGTCCACTGATATTGGAGTTTTACTTGCTTTTTAGAAACATCAACCTTCGCAAAAAGCTGTCATGCTGGGGCATTAGTGTTTCACAAATGTATCAACAAGAAAACATTGATGTAACCATCAATTGTCGCCCGGGAAATATACAAAGTAAACAATGGAAAAGACTCTTGATCATCAAACCGCTTCGATATGTGTGAAAAGGCATGCGTCTAATTGATGGAGAAGATATTTGCGAACATTTGGAAAAGTTATAGTCGGATAAATGACAAACAAAAACGATACCATTTTAAACTTCAATTCCTCGAGTAAATGTTGGCTGCATAAAATATAAATTTAAGTTATAGACACATGCATCACCTATACTCAAAAATGTATTTAATTTTCAATTTTAGAATATAAAACACGAACTGTGCAGAATACGTTTTTATGCGAGAAATAAAATTCGATGTTCTAAAAAAAGGGACCTGTCGTTTTTTTCGATAGTAAATGACATACAACTTTATATATTAAATATGAAAAAAAAATATTTTTACAGATTCACTTTATTGAAGTAAATATATTATGTATCTCGTAATTTATAAAGGGAAAGAACATTCTGATTAACAATATTTTCAATGTTTAGAAAACCTTTAATTTTGAATAACTACTCCCACCCCAATCCCCATATACCAACACTTAAACTTATATGTATAGAGCAGCCCGGTCCTCCGGGCTGCAATTAGTCTGGTGTGAAGAAATTAGAATCTACACTACCTCAAGAAGATTCCTCAGAAATTTCAGCTTTACTGACCCAGTGGTTATTGAGAAGTTTAAAAAAAGATTTTTGCTATATGATTGAATTTAAAATTTTGATTCCCTACTGTAGCCCAGCCGAATTCTGGGACCACGGTTTAACAAATTTGTAATCTATACTAAGTACTTAGAATGCTTCCATAAAAGTTTCTGATTTTCTGCTTCAGTGATTCTTGAGAAGATTTTTATTGATTTTTCCCTCTTTATGTCTTTTCTTAATTATCTTTCTTTGGAAGGGTATTTGGTCCTTCATATAAGAATTTAAACTCCCCTTCTCCAGATGATTTTTTGTTCCAACATTGGTTAAAATTAGCCCAGTAGATCTTGAAAAGTTGAAAATATGTAAAGTTTTTACAGCCGGACGAACTGGAAGACGGACAACGGGTGATCAGAAAAGTTCATCGGAGCATACAACCACTATAGTATCTGAAATATTTTGTTAACTATTTGGCGAAGTCGATTTTTTTTTCTTTTCAAAAGGGAACAGCATGACCGAGAGACCTCCAGGTGACGTCCTCAACAACATGATGTTTTCGACACCTGATAGAGACAATGACGGGATCCACATACACTGCGCCGAGAATCATAAAGGGGGGTGGTGGTTCAATTCGTGCCATGACGCTTACCTGAACGGACCTTACGATTCCTCGTCATGGGATCAGCCATGGTACCCTGTAGTGTCTAAAGGGACAGAGATTGAGAAAACAGCGATGATGGTTAAAAGAAAATCGTCGCCATGAAGCAGATGCATATTAAGTGAAAAACATCGCAACTATAACTAACTTATATATCATCACATTTCATGTCCCAGTAAGCTTGGGAAGTTGTAAAAATTGTAATTTTTTTTTCAAGTGTCTGTTTTGTAGAATAAAATATAATTACAGGCACCCGTTTACCTTAAGGTTCACTGATCCTCTAATAAGAGAAACTGACAAACTCTCACTGACTGTCTATTATTTTTTTTTACATCTTGAAAGCAATTGCTCTGAAAAAAGCAAGAGCCACGAACCCTCACAGATGGTTTTATCCTGAAATTACGCGCTTTTGTTAACACATAGCAAAGATTTTTAGCGTTTTATGCCCCTGTTAACGAAGTTTCGGGTGTATATAATTTTTGTCGTGTCCGTCTAGCTGTCTTTCTGTCTGTCTGTCTATTTGTCCGCAAAAACTATAACCTTGCCTATAACTTTTGATTAAGTGGATCTATAGCTTTCATATTTCACATGTGTATTCATTGTGACAAGACCTTCCTTTAAGTACCACCAAATTTGACCTCTTGACCTTGGAGTTTGACCCACTTTAACACAAAAATTGCAAACTTTTACTTTGGCCGTATCTTTTGAGCAGTAGATACCAGGACTTTTATACTTCATATATGTACTCTTTGTGACATGACTTTTCATTGGATGCCAACGACTTTGTCCTTTTGACCATGACCTTGGAGATTTCCGTACTTCACAATTTAATTCTTGGGAGAAGACACTTTATTGGATACCAAGAACCTTGACACTTTGACCTTGACGATTGACCTACTTTAAAAACACAACCTTGACCATAATTTTTTAAGAGTTAGGACTAGGGCTTTCATACCTTACATATTTAATTCTTGTGACAAGACCTTTCATTTGATATCAAGAACTTTGACCCTTTGACCTTGGAGTTTGACCCACTTTTACCAAAAAATTCCTAACTTTTACTCTGGCCCTAATTTCATATTTCAAATATCTTTTTTTTTTTTTGCAAGACCTTTCATTTGAAACCAACAATTTTGACCTTTTGACCTTGACCTTGGAGATTTCCGTACTTACGAAAATAATTTAACCTTGGTCATAGCTTTTGAACAGTAAAGGCTAGGGCTTTCATGCTTCAAATATGTAATCCTTGTGAGAAGACCTTTCATTGGATATCAACAACTTTGACCCTTTGACCTTGGAGTTTGACCTACTTTTTAAAATCTTTAACCTAGACCATAACTTTTGAACAGTAGAGGCTAGAGCTTTCGTATTTCACATATTTAATCCTTGTGACAAGACCTTTCATTGGATATCAAGAACCTTGACCCTTTGACCTTGGAGTTTAGCCTGGTCCCCTGGCTCACCCTTGCCAAGGCAGGAGACGCGGAGTATACGAAGCAAAACAGGGACAGGGAACCAGGCTACTTGGAGTTTAACCTACTTTTTACAAACTTTAACCTTGGTCATAACTTTTAAAGGGTAAGGGCCAGCGCTTTCATACTTCCCATATGTAATCTTGGAGACAAGGCCTTTCTTTAGAAACCAACAATCTTGACCCTTTGACCTTGACCCCGGAGTTTGCCCTACCTTTAACAATTTTAACCTTGGTCATAACCCTTGAAAGGTGGTGCTAGGGCTTTATATTTCACAGTTGTATTTCTTGTGAAAAGGGCTTACTTTAGGTACCAACATATTTGATCTGCATTTGAGAAAGCTTAACCTTTGCTATGTTGCCATAAAGGGCATCAGTGTTTCACAAACACATCTTGTTTCTTTATAATCCTTGATAAATATAATTGTGTATTTTAAGTTTTATGGGGAAAAGACACCGGAGTACGGATTTTTATATTTGGTACTCGAACGTTCGATGAAGTACTGGGAACTCGTCGAAATCTCGAATTTATCTCAGTCACTATAAGAACGTTATGAAACTAAAGATGTGTAAGAACAAATGAATACTGTATCAGTGGACAGAAAAAGTGAGCTTAAAAACTATCCAGGTACCAGTGCTTTGTGTTCTTGTTATGATTTGTATAGTTTAAAGGATTTATGTTGTCAATCAATATTCATTATCATCACCTTTTCCCTCCAAATAACGATGGATTCGGGAAGAAGGAAGAACGACTCCCTCCGACATAACAGAGTAGCCTTACTAATTACATTCTCTTTTCCTTATACGTATCGAAAATTCCAACCGGTCAAATCACAGCAATTACAATACATGTTTTTTTAGAACAGAAAACGGGCTTTGATTGACCATGCGTTGCTGTTGACATAAAAACTGGTAAACAATCATTCAATCATCGTCGGAAACCCATAGGCGATCTTGTCTTTATACTGAAGACGAGTTCACCCGGGGTTTCCGACGATGTCATTCAATGTGATTGGTCAGTATTATCAGGGTATTGTTGTATTCTGCATTTCATATGCAAATTAGTATTGATTTCATTGAAAGCAATCATCCAATCGATGAGTAAAATGATATTCAGCACAAAAAGTTTTAGCACGCCCCATCAAGCAAACTGTCAAGCTGTAAGTATCAGTCAGTCAGTCACTCAGTCAGTAATCATTTATTATAGTGACATTGTGCATATAGACATTGCAATAAACATTATGAACAAAATACGTCAGACTGAATTTGCACCCGGCCCACTGGACCTATAAGTCACTTTTTCCATTAATTACATTTATATAAATTTACAATTTAATGTAAGTAAAATTATAATAGCTAGGTTCGGAGCTAGGAATTTAAAATTGATTCAAATGCTTGGATAAAGCATTGCTTCCCAAACATTTCCACTGGGCCAGAGTATAACATTTCTCAGGCAACGTTTATAGTAAATGTACTATCATTCCAGTAGCAGCGTGTCTTCGTTAAATGGAGTGTGTTAAAAGTTTTACATGTTGATCACATTATTTCTTATCGATTGGATGCTTGATTTCAATGAAAAGAATACTATACATTGCATATGAACAGAGAAGCCGATGGCTTTGACTTATCACGTGTCGTTACCTATTACAAATGCCGTCCTCGTAAACAAACTCGCAATGCGATTGGTCAGTATTGTAAGTGTATTGCTGGATTCTCTATTTCATATGCAAAGTAGTATTCATTCCATTGAAAGCAAACATCCAATCGATGCCAAATGTGGAGAACATGTGAAAAATTTGCACGTTTGATCTAACGAAGTGACACGCTGTTATTGGAAATAGAATATATTCTTCTTTTCTTTCTTGTTTTTTTTTTTTTTTGGGGGGGGGGGACTTAAACCCTCTTTTGTTAACATTCGTAGAAGTGTCAAACTTTTTAAAATATTATGATTAGATCTGGGTTTGTATTGTGTATCCTCAACTTTAAAAAACAGAAGTTTTGAGAATTTTTTGCTTTGCTTCTGTTTTTAAATGTAATTTTTTCTTTCAGACTTAGTTTTGATGATACTATCATTCCAATAACAGCGTGTCACTTTGCTTAACCGAGCGTGGTAAAGTTTCACATATTGATTACCATATTACTCATCGATTGGGTGTTTGATTTCAATGAAAGCAATACAACTTTGCATATGAATAACAGAACCCAGCAATACCACTGACAATACTGACCAATCGTATTGAATGACTGTTCACGAGAATGCAGTAAACAATAATCACATGTGGACAGACAAAGCAAGTTTTTATCCTTATAATGATGGATATACATATATTATAATAGTTTCAAAGTATAGTCTTACTTATTTCATGCTTTAAATATTCTCATTCGTATCAAAATTAACACCATTCGGCCAAATCACAAGAAATATGGCACGTGCGTTATTTCATGCTTTAAATATTCTCATTCGTATCAAAATTAACACCATTCGGCCAAATCACAAGAAATATGGCACGTGCGTTTTGCGGGACAGTAAACGGGCTTTGACTGACCACGTGTTGCCGGTGACTACAAATGCCGCGCTGGAAAACAATCATTCAATACGATTGGTCAGTGTTATCGGGGTATTGCTGGATTCTGTTCTTTATATGCAAAGTAGTATTGATTTCATTCAAATCAAACATCCAATCGATGGATGATATGGTAATCAATTTGTGAAATTTTTACCACGGTCGATCAAGCAAAGTGACACGCTGTTATTAGAATGATAGTATTATTGTTTTACTAACAGCGTGACAGTTTGCTTGATGGGCTTGCTAATATTTCGTATGCTGATTATCATTTTACTCCTCGATTGGATGTTTGATTTCAATGGAATCAATAATACTTTGCATATGAAACACAGAACCCAGCAATACCACTGACAATACTGACCAATCGCATAGTACAACAGTAGCAGAGTAGCCTTACTAATTCCATTCTTTAAATTTACTTATATATGTTATACGTATTTAAAAACCCATCCGGTCAAATCACAACAAATATAAAACATGTTTTTGGGGACAGATAACGGGCTTTAACTGACCACGTGTTGCTCCTGTCTACAAATGCCGTACTGGAAAAGAACCTTTCAATGTGATTGGCCAGTATTATCAGCATATTGTTGTATTCCGAGTTTCATATACAAATTAGTATTTATTTCATTGATCCAATAGAGGAGTAAAATGATAACCAGCACACAAAATCTAAGCACGCCCCAACAAGCAAACTGTCAAGCTGTTTGTAAAATGATAGTACTTTACTCAAACACATTTGTAAGCTTTCTACCGGCAAGCTTTTAAATATTATGATTAGATCTAGATTTGTATTGTGTACTCTCAACTTTTTTCTAATCTGAGAGTTTTTTGTATTTCTTTTCAGATAAGTAAGACCATCTTAAAAATGATGTTTGCTTGCCCTCTCTTGACTCAGGGTAATATTATTGGGTCGGTAGGTATTTCAAAAAAAAAAAGAAAATTTAATTCGGGTCATTTTCAGTCAGATATTAGTATATTTTGTCATAAATTTGCATAAATTTCCATACACTAGTATTTAATAATAAAAAAATATCAATTTACTTTTACTTTGCATAGATTAAAGAAATTTCTATAAATTAACATTCTTTTTACCATAAATTTACATAA